TCCATGAAACAGACTGAAGCGTCAAACAGCTGGAAAATGTCGACTGTGAATGAGTTCCAATGATAAAGAGAGGTCAATGAGATAGGAATTAATGAGATCCACTTCATGTTGTTGAGACACGAGTCAACATTGCGTGGTTGGTGGCGGCTCTGCTGGCTCCAGTGACACCGCTTTTTTCCCGCAGCAAAGCAAGCTGACGATGCGACTGTCGCCTTCCAGGCCTTTGTTTTGATAAAACAAAATGCTGCAACAATTGCGCACTGTTTTTTTCGTGGCCCTCTGACTCTGTCGTTACGTGGTGGGCGACTAGCGAGTGGGTCTTGCTCACGCTGGGTGAGAGTTAGTTCTTGAAATGCAAGAAACACTCGGCGCGATAAATTTGGCGCATGAATCAGCGATCGGATATCGCAATAAGCACGGCGGTTTGGTAAGTCATCAGAGGTGGTTTTGTCAGCTTACTGCGTTGGCAAAATTTCGCTTTACCAGTCATGAGCAGTGTTCGCGATTCTGCTGGCCATAGTGCAGCAAGGATTAAGGAGCGAAGGCAAGGAGAATAACCTGAGCAACGGGATCCTGCATTTCAAGGGCGAAATTTCGCAAAAATGACTTTTTAGGGGAAGGGGCTGCACGGCCAAAAATGACAAACCTCCCACCAAAATGCAAAGGCAAGCAGTCTTTTCCTCAGATTTGGGCCATTTCCTTCCCAAAGTTGGAAATGGCCGAGGGGCTGGACCTCCTCAATCGAATAGGAAGCTGCACTCCTGATGTGTGAAGTCGATGCCATATCTCCTCTTCTGCTTTCTTAAAGTTGCATGGGTCAGCGTTGGTGCGGTTTGCTTCTTGAGCACTGTGAACGTAAACATTTCCAGCACGCAGCAGGTGCATACTTTGTCCCTGCTATTCAAACTGCCATGTTCGGCAAAATCCCTTGAAGCGTTTCCAAGGAAGTCAGAGCAAGCGTTACGCACTGCCACTTTGCAGGAAGGGTAGCAGGCTGAGTGGAATCGCAACCTGCTGTCAAATGGAGTCTTGGCTTTTCTGGTGGCATAGCTGGAAGGTATCATTCACTGTATGCGCCATTTATCCTGCTGCTTCGAAATAAAATATTCAAGTTTGATACGGAAAGGTAAATCCTATGAAGTTGTCATACGCAAGATCGCTAAAATTCCTTAATACTGAGTGCTGATCGGGGGCGCCGCCAGGATTTTCTTAATGGATGTACCCGGAGCTCGGTCAGTGCACATCACGCCTATCTTCAACGTCTTCCGGGAGCATTCTGTGGTGAAAAACGAAAAATTCGGGCCTAAGAGGGGGAGCACCCCAACTCCCTTCCCTGGCTGCGCCCCTGGTACTGATATCAGTGAGGGAATGTTCATGGACTTTGGTCGATCACAGAGCTCGCTAGCATTGTCAGTCTGGCAGCCTCAGCTCTGCTCGCGCTAGAGACCGATCCTAGACTACTGCGCCTATGCATTTTGCTACAATAAAATTTCCCCCTACCAGCAATTCACGTAGTGTCGCGTAAAATCAACACGTTCTTTAAGCACATATCGGAATGATTGAGCACACGTGCCGGTCCTGGTTATTGGACATGCGTGGCGTGACATGCGTGTGCCAGCAATTACATGTCACGTGTCGCCTCCCAGCTCTTTTACCGCACACGCCACCACTAACCGCTGCCACGTGCCAGCACCACGTGCCCTTGATTCACAACAGACACAACAGAAACGACAGCCAATTGATGACAGAGGCGCACGCACCCTCTGAGCCTCCCGTCACAGACCATTCATGGCAGATAATGGACACGTTTTAAGAGTTAAATCTATTCGCCGTATTTTATGGCTATTCTCTATAAATGGCAGGCATTGTGCTATGCATATATCTAAAAGATAGAGCCAACAGAAATGATCTGCCAAGCACTCGTCTCGTGCTTTTCAGTGTTAAAGTTCGATTATTTTGAACGGGACCACCAAATTATCATAAATTTCACTTGTTCGAAATATTGAACGTCACAAAACAAGCAATAACATTTTTGCTTTTTCACTAACTAATTGAAATTCAAAACATGTATGGACATGACCAATCTCTACTTCTTCCATCTCTCCTACTGCCTTCACTCGTAAATGGTAATTACTCTTTTAGCCAATGTTGCTTTCAGCTCACCATAGGAGAGAAAGCCACATGCCTCTGATCCCACCCCTACTCTATGATCCGATCATCCTGTCTGAATTACACGCTTGGCCGGTATGAACGGTGCGCCCGATGGATCACAGGTGAGCAGGTATGCCACATTAGTCAGTTGCATACCCCACCCCTCTTCTTCCACCACTTCACAGCCAGTTACACACTCTCACCCCCAACTACCACCCCATCCCACCCCTCTTCTCCCGCCTCATCACCGCCGGTTGCATACTCCCGCCCTCTTCTCCCGCCACGGGGATAGCCGGGACAGGGAGGTGCATCGAGGGAGGGGGAGGGGGCGATTAACGCGAGCGTCGGCTTTGTGCCGAACCACCAGGCCGACACCTGCTGTCGGCGGCGGGTGGCGCGCGCCACAATGGCCGGCCGACAGGTGCCGGCTGCGCCGCCATTGTGTTCGCCGGCCGGTGGCGATCGATGGGGCAGTCTCCCGCCGGGAAGGGCTGGGATCTTCGGACCCGGCGAGAGATGAGCTCCTGCTCACGGAGATCGGTGGCAACCATGGTGAACGGACAGCTGGGAGCTCTGAGAGACGGGACAGACTCAGTAGAGCTGAGCTCTGCGGCGCGCAGAAACGGCCGGCTGTTCTCTGGATCTGGGAATGGTCCGGACTTCATCCGTGACGCGAGTGGCTGTGAGGCCTCCGGACAAAGTTTCGTCTTTGCAGAACTTGAATCACAGCTCAATAATAAGCCATTTAGGTGCAAACTACATGCAAGAAATGATTAACGTTGACGATACCGTGGCTTAGCCGCTCAAAGATGCACAACAACATCGTTTTAAACTTCCATCCACCCCAAAGTTTAGCCTTATTCGTTGATCTGGAATTTTTTATCTGACGTTGCCTATCGATGGTGAATTCTGACCTGGATAACGCAAGTAAGACGTCTGTTGAATGACCCTATCAGCCAACGGCAATTGGCTATGTTATGCCTAAATAATGGCTTCCAGTTTCTAGAATTATATATCCTAATCCAAGTCATGGTAGGAGTCATATATATATATATATATATATATATATATATATATATATATATATATGTATATATATGTATATATATATATATGTATATATATATATATATGTGTGTGTGTGTGTGTGTGTGTGTGTGTGTGTGTGGGGGGGGGGGGGGGGGGGGTGTGAGTGTGTGTGTGTGTGTGTGTGTGTGTGTGTGTGTGTGTGTGTGTGTGTGTGTGTGTGTGTGTGTGTGTGTGTGTGTGTGTGTGTTACACCGCTGCGTTTGCAATAAAGATGACTAACTCGGCTGCCATTCTTGAACAGCGCTAATAAACTGAGAAATCTGTGACAAATTAGACATAAGAGAACGCTCAATAACAGAAGCAGACCTAGAAGCCAGATGAATTCAGTAAAATGTCATTGGCCATCTTCAAACACCGACTAAAATGGCGCATCCGCGCAGTCTTCATGCCACATGCAGGCATTGGATAGTATCTGGTGAGAGATGAACCATCTCAGAGCAATGTTTTGATGATGAGGAAGCGCACTAACCAAACGAACTCGTTTTCGGAGGCTCGACACGATTTCAGTGGTTTCTGTAAGGTGCTCATTAAACTGATAAGCCGCCTATACTGGCAAAAGGTAACTTTTTTCTTTTTAATTGGAGTTTCATACAGGGAAATAGAAACAATATGACGAGTGTTCATAAGTTAAGGATACGATACACAGGATACTCAGGTCATGATATGTCGCATGCAGTGTGTGTCCTGCGGATTGCCCGCATTCATGCATGCTCTCACCCGATAAGATTTTAAAGCATGAACCCAAGAGTGATGTCTCTGGGGTGGCATTGTCAGCAGACGCATCCTTAGCTAATGCATTAAGGGTATGGCGACAGTGAAACATTAAGTGGTTAATCACAGGAAATGGGAAATAAGAAATGAGGGGGTTTGAAACTGGAAAGAAGACATGCAGCACTGCAGAGTAAATGATTTTACAACAGGGCTGAAATGGAAAACTAAAAGGAATATGGTTCGAAACTGGAAGAAAATTATGCGGGCCTGCAGATCTAATCACGAGAGGGTCTGGAATAACGTTGACGATATTAAGACGCTTTCGAGAGCTGATCTCAAATAATAATAGAGCTATAGGTACGTCACGGCTGTCCGGCCAAAACGCGGCGCTGTCACTCAACGACCGAGGGTGTGTAAAATTGACATCAAGTGACTTGCCCACTCCGACATGAATGGAATGTGCGCACTTACCTGACCCCTGCAGCATGGGAAGTCAATGCACATGTATTTTGTCAACACCTACTGCTCAAGCCCATATCGTGCATATGTCGAGCATAGATTTCTAAAACATGCTTAAGTTTGTATCGAGCAAACAATTTTGACCTCAAACAAAATACTCAAAGCCATAGAGTGCCATGCAAATTAGGTATGTGCCCTCATCTGTCTTTCCTCTACATCTCAACAATGGTATCTGTCTGGCACCGAGATTTAGGGCAGAAAGCCAAACAATGTAACAATCTTCGTTGGCCGCCACGCTAAGATCTAGGCATAGTTACCCACATGAGAAGTGCAAACACATTCTGGCAGAGGCAACTTTCATGTCTTGATAGCTTACCGTCTCGTCCGTCGCTCCCAGACTCATATGACTGCTACGTCACATTTTTAGTAAATGTCGCAACATCCTCTACTTAAGCAATAGCCTCTACAGTTTCGGAGTTTATCATCTCAGGAGAAAGGTGAGTCAGAAACGCACGCCCTGTTTGACGAAAGAGCGTAATTCCTTTTACTCCGACTTGGTTTGATGAAAAATTGCCTGGAGAGATCCGTGAACGACAACTGGCAACAAGCTTCGAACGATACCAGCTTACGAACGAAACGAAGATCACAGAAGGTGATTTCAAGCTGATCGTGTGTAAAAATGTTCCGTGTTTACTTATCAGTTAACCGCATAGGAAGGCACCATTTTATCTCATTAAAGATCGAATAAGCACAAGCCGTATTTGAATGAACTTGCTACCCTTCACATCCGCTAACGACCAACTCAACCAAATCGACGACAGGATGTCAATCGGAAACAAGGAGACCATGTAAGTGCTCTTCCACACCCATGGTGAGGTTCTCTGGCGCGTAATAGGCGCATGTGTGAAGCACCCAGTGTTGACTGAATGAGAGCTCTTGCGGTACGTGAGGACTGCTGTGCTGGGGAAGCGTCATTGGAAGTAGACAGGAGTTTCACAGTTTATTGCAAAAAACTAAACCACTGCAAAAAAAGCTGCTGGGGGTTGCATTTGACTTTGGTGCAATTATATTTGATCGAAACACAACTCTTACCCGATCTACTAAAAAGTGATTGGTGTGGGCACCTGACCGACCCCAGCGGTGATCACTCCTGTGGCTTCGCGTTTGGGACCGCCCACCTTCGACCTTGTGAGAACAGTGGGGAACAGTGTGCTGGGGGGCATGTTAGAAATTCGAGATGAGTATGCGTTTCAAGACTGGCACCTTGATAGGGCGTACTGCGAAGGTTTTATTCTTGCACCCTGACGCATCTGCGTCGGTGGATCTGGACGGAGTATCGCAGCGCATATGCTTCTCGTGCGATTACATTATGCGGCAGTGTCCTTATAAGTTAGCTCCGGCGTGTTCGGAGAACTCGAGACAAGAAGTTGGCTTGCTCTTGAACTGCTCCTGCGTTACACGAAGGCGCCGCCGTAAATGACCTCGTTGGTTTAATGACTAAAAGTGACATTAAGTTAACGGAGCTGCATTCAACACGATTGAGCCGTTCTCAGAAAGTTTAATGGGCGACACCTGTATGGTATGGTAAAGTAAAGTATGGCATGGATGCGTCTGACCGTAGGTCGCTCGCGATCTACACCTTCGAATGGCCACCCGCAATTTATGACACGACTTGTTGGAAAGCACTGCATCATGCCCCAAAACACATCCGGTCATAAAGGCACATCCTTGGTGTTGCTCGGTTACCTAGTACCTCTTCGCATCTGAGTTGAGGAAGGGCTATCGACCATGAGGGTACCATGTCACCTAACAAGCAATTGCACGTCGTGATCCCATCGCTACACATACAGAGCATGAGCGTGCATTTGGTCGAAGAAGATAATAGTATTATCCACCAGTAGCTTGATGTTGGGCAGACTGCCGAGTAGCTGAGGTCTTTCCGTCTAGGAAATTTGCCAGGTTGCACATACTGCATGACCATTACTTGTCTGTATAGTTTCTTTTCGGAGCGGGATCCGTCTCTGACTCCAATATTAGCATCCTTTGTTTGGGTGGGACAACTCTTAAGGGCCAGCTGTTGCTGCCTGCGAAGTGGGTATTTCCTGCACACTGCCCTTCTTCCTCCATTTCCATGCGCGTTCCGTCGTCCACCCTCTCCAGACAGCCAACGCCGGCGCCTTCGTCTCAATGGCAGCTGTCGTTACTATGGCGACGCGACTCTGATTGGCGGTCGATGCTGCAAGGATTGCGCAGGTGGTGGCCGCTAATAGAGCCGGCGCTGCGGCCGCCGGCCCCGCCAACAATGGCCCGCTGTTTTGGCTGGCTTCGGCGGCACGGTGGTCACCGGTTCGGCAAACGCTCGGTAAGTCCGCACTATGGATGTCTGTGCACATGATGTGCGGCTTTCAGAGCCATTGGACGGCGCACAAATCCGCATCGGAGGCCCGGCTGTCACTGCCCCCCCCCCCCCCCCCCCACCGCCCCACGGTTCCACAAGGCGACAGATGGCCGGGGGCCAGGGGAGGCTGAGGCCCTTTAAAGTGCGGACAAACTACTAATGTGCTCCTAATAGACTCAGGAGACTCGTAATAGATTTGTCGGCTTAATGAGGGGCGCCCGATTTTGTACAGTAACAGATAGAGGGGCGCTCAAAGCGCTCGGCCGGGGGCGTGCCCCCGGGGGTCCGGGAGCGGGGGGCCGCCGCCGCCGAGGTGTCGCCCAATGGGCCGCTAATCCGGCGGCCCGCTGCCGGAAGAATGGAGCGACGAGTGGCACTATTGTGCGCCGCGCCGCGCATAAAGGCCGACATGTGCACGCGGCGGGGCGCCGTGCCGGGAGACCCGGCCCGGCCCGGCCCGGTCTCAGCCTCGCCGCCCGCGCCGCCCCCCACGCAAACATGCATTATTCAGGGGTGCGGGAGTGTTTGCGGAGATGGCTCGGCGAGTGTGTCCCGCGCGATTGTGGCGGCTGACTGTGTGTGGTAATGCGTGCCCGGTGATGACGAACGATATAGGGTGATGAATACTGATGACATTGTGCGACTCGTGTCGACAAACGCTAAGGGATGGATCCCATTGTGATACAGAGCGGGAAGGCCAATAGACAGAGGAGGTGAACCTGTTTCAACTGGATTTATATCACGCTATTGCTTATTTGGTGCAGGTAGAGCAGGCACTGAAGCTAGCATGTTTGGCGTTTCGTATTGTGTGGTGGTTCTCATGCACATTGAGGCATGTTATGAATGCAAATTGAATCACCTTTTGATTACAAGGCGTGTAACCATGTGTTTTTGACATGATGTGGAATTCACATTTTTTCAATTGCACGCGCTTCAAAACCCCACGGAGCTATGAGAACCTCTGCATTGTTCGCTTTATCAATGGATGCATGAGTTATCAACATGCGACTTTCGACGGTCCGAGGCAATTCCGAAAGAAGGCAAGCATTTCGCCAAAGGTGCTGCCAAGCACCACTTTTCTCCGTCTCACGTCGTAGGTATTCAACTGCGTTCGAAGAGCAGGTAGAATAGTTGAGCAGCTGCTTTAGCCAACAGTCCTCAACAAAAATTTGGCTCGGAGCCATTGCAGTGAGCACATAAACCCATTGGCATCCCCAATTTGCATTAACCAATGCATTAACTTTTCTGCATTAACCCTTGTATTATGCATACTGACTGCATTTTATTGGTCGATAGATCAATAAGATCGATCACTGTCTGAAAGAATCTAACACTTTCATCTTTCTAGATCCCGTTTGCGATGCGCACCAATATTTATGTCACGGGTGGCATACATGTCCGTGCAATCATACACACCTGATGTGTAAGTATGAGCACAAGGTCTCGGCCAGCTAATTCTCTGGCCGTTGTCCATTGTTATTAAGTCTAGAGATGGACTGGATGGTGTTCGACTTCAGTTATTTTCACATCACATCCCACATTTGTTCTTGGAATTGCTGGGAATTGTAGTGGGGTCTTCTTTTTACTAGTCCAGCGCTTTGGCGGTCACCATGCGCTTTTGGTTGAAAGTCGAACACCATCCAGTTCCTTTTAGAACTCGATATCACCTGCCTACGGCCGGAGAATGAACAGGCCGAAACGATGCGTACGTACTAACAGACCAGAAGAGCATGGTAGTCAGAATAGTTATTCTTCGGTCCGTGATATTCACACCTCGTCTCAATAAAGATGTAGAGCGACAATATGTATGTTGTTGAAAGCAACCGCTAATTTTAGCGACACCCCGTCTGCGACTTAGAGACTCGCGTCCACGGGCGGATCCAGAGGGAGGGGGGGGGGGGGGCACGAAACCACGCACTTCCCTTGGGTTCCTAATAAAGCCATAGGCTCCGAAGGGGCTCATAGGTTGCCGAACAAGTGCAATTCTTTTAAACACAAAAACGCAACACAATTTGACGTATTTGGACTTCTAGGCGACCAAGAGCGATCGCGAGCGAAAGTGAGGGGCTCTCGAGTAAACAAAAAAAGGATTGAAAAGCTTTTCATTGGGAATTCTAAGCCTCCTTACGCTGTCCGGGGGCCCTACGCTGTTACCGTGAGACCCATATGCCCACTTTCAGGGTTATTCCAATAGTTAAGAAGCCTTCTACGCTGCCCTCGATTTCTTTGCATTTGCTTGGAGGGCCGTGCGCCGTTGCTGAGTCCTCATGCTGGCGTGCCGGGCGCTCTTGTCAATCAGGGGCCTTCCACGGATTCTTTCCATTCGTCAGAAAGACTCTGTACGCTGTAGCCGGGCCCTATATTTTACCTTGCCGGGGTATTCTCGGTTACTCAGAGGCCTTTTATGGTGATCTCGGTCAACCTACCGACACACTCGTGATTTGTTCATGGGCCTTCTACATTGGTTGAAGGCGCTTCGAATTCTCTGTCACTTGCTAACACACTTGTCGGGGCCCCATCTGTTAACTTGCTTGGGCACACTGGATTGTTTGGGTGCTCTGCATATCGGGTATCTTAATGCACGGCCCTACGCTCCTGTCGGGGGCCATCTGATAACCTGCTCGTGTGCACTCAGTCTTTCGGGGGCCCTCCACACTAGGTCTTGGGTACTTCCTATTTTAATGAATTGCCCTACGCACTTGTCGGTTCCTCCTCTGTTCGCCTTCTCGGCCACACTGGATTGCTCGGGGGCCCTGTATGTTGGGTCTTGGTGTTTAAATTAAGGACCCTACGTTCCCATCGGGGCCATCTGATGACCTGGCCGGATACACTTTCCACCATTGTTCGGGGCCCCTCCGCACTGGGTTTTGGGTACTTCTTATTTGAATGGAAGGCCCTACGCTCTTTTCGGGCCCGTTCTGATAAGTTGTCCGTGCGCATTCGATCATTCGGGGGAAATTTACATCGGGTCTTGGGTAATTCTTGCTTTAATGGAGGTCCCTGCGTTCTTGTCATTGGGGTGTCACCACGCACTCAGCTGCTGAGGTCATCCGGCATCGCCTGCCTCCCACCCTGGCAGGAAGGGCGGGTACCGCGGGGAATCGAGCCCCGTACCTCTGGTTTCCAGGACGCGCAGCGGCTAACGCAGACGCGTTAACCGCTACACTATCGATACCACGCTCTTGATGGGGAGCCTATATGCTAACCTGCTCTGGCGCACCCGATCGTTCGGGGCCCTCCTCGTTGCGTCGTGAGCATTCCTTATTTGAATGGAAGGTCCTACGCTGTTTTCGGGGGCTTCTATCTGTTAACCTGCTCTGGCACATTCGATCATTCCGGGATCCTTCACGCTGTGCCTTGGGTGCTTGTTTGAATGGATGGCCTTATGTTCTTGGCGGGTCCCATCTATTAAGCTGCTCGGGCCACTGGCGGATACGGAGGGGGAGGGAA